CCAGCACCAAATCTGCCTCATCTGAATCTTTCCACTTCATAAGAAACATTAATTCTCCACTGCTGTCTGTGGCACCAATTATTCTTTCAGGATCAAGACCTCTGGCAAAGCCTCTTGGTTTGTCAGCAGCATCTCTTTTCTTCTTTGATTTGCTATCATCCGATTCACTGTCAGATAAAGACTTTCTTTTTGTACCATCTTTTTCTTTACCAGCTTTTTGGGAATTAAGAAATGCTTCAATTAACTCTGGACAATCTAAATTTTCTTCAGGTTCCCAAGTATTATCAGCATCTGTAAATCCCTTCCACTTCAGGAAATACTCCACCTTCCCATTTACTACTCGTCGATCCAGAACTTTTTCCACCACAAATTCTTCAGGCTCTGCCTCTTCAACCTTTTTACTCTTTCCATTCTGCTTCTTTCCCATTTTTTGCAACGTAGTTTTATTGGAGGCCATTTTTTATTGCAGACTTGAAGAGCTATTATTCACCAGCTCCGAGCTGCTCCGGGTCGCGAATCTCGCCATTTTTTTTTTTGGCAGAAAATCTGTTTTTGTTTGATTTGGACGTGCTTAGAAGTTAGACTGCTACATAAAGTTAGCTTTCAGGATATGGAAGGCAACAGCTTCTCTCACTGAGTGGGTATTTAACTCCTAGGCTGTGCTGTACGTACTTAGCATGAGCAGTGCGCAGAGGATCATATGGGTGGGTAACAGTGTCCCAGAAGAACACAGGTCTTGGAAGTACGTTCAGAGATTCTGCTCTTTACTGGCTGTGTGAACTTGGGCACGGGCCTTTGAACCTCAGTTTTCTGTTATATAAAATGAGAATACTGACTTTATGAGACTCTTGTGATAATTGAGATAATGTATATGAGGTTTGGGGCAGATAATAGAAATTCAATAAATATAGGTTTCCTGTCTTTAAAAAGAAATGAGTCAGACGTGAACTCTGTCTCTGAGTCTGCTAGACCCTGGTCTAGCCGAAGCGACATTAAACATAATTAAAGACAATGAGCTGAATAAATTGATAAAAGATAAAATATAATCGGTCCCTTAAAGAAGTATGAATCAAAGTCAGAGAGGAAGAAGGCGGGGGAGGTGCTTTTAGCTGTTTGATCAGGAAGGTCTTTGGGTTAACTGTGAGAGCTGAGGCCTGAGCATGGGTAGACCCAGGATGGGGGAAGCCGGGGGGACGTCTTCCGTGGGGGGAAAGTCTGCACAGAAGCATCCCTGGGAAGCAGAGGCCCAGCTGCATCCCAGCACTAGTTCAGTTTTTCAGAGGAAAGGATTTTTTGAAGGGAGGTTGTATGAAGTAAGGATGGATAAGTTAGCTGTGAATGGCAGGCCAAGGAATTTAGACTTTTTCTCAAGGCAGTGCTCTCACCGTGGGGTGTGCTTCAGTATCAAGGGACACGACTGACAGAACAGTCTTTGGGGTCATCAGAAACTCTCCAGGAGTCTTGAGCAGGGAAGCACTCCGGGCCATGTTGTGTTTCAGGAAATTTGACTGCCCGGTCACATTGTGGACATTGAGTAGGGGAAGACAGCAGAGGTCAGAGCACGTGTCCACGGAGGAGGTGAGGACAGGAGCCCTGAACCTGGACAGAAGGGGATGAAGGAAATGAGACAGTGCAGATAAGATTGAGGCTCAGCGCCTGTGGCTCAAGTGGCTAAGGCGCCAGCCACATACACCTAAGGTGGC